AATACTGTTTCTCCTACCTGCTGTGCATGTTAATTTTAATAGAAAAATTTTCATTTCTGGAAATTATAGTTGATCTTCATTACTGTTTTTTTTCTTTTTTTGAAACATTTCATTATATATGTCTTTAATAAAAAATTTTAAGAATAAATTCTAAGGAACAGTAGAGTTAAGAGTAGGAAATATATATGGAGGGATAAATATAGCCTCTAAGAAGCATGAGGGGTCACAAGTGGGTTCTCCTATCTTTAATAATTTTTACAAAATTTATTTTCTTATTCACATATAATAATTCCATTATCAAAAATTCTTGGTAATATTCATATTTAAATAATCTGTCAGTAAGATATTATCTTTACTGTTCTTTTCTGTGAGAATATTTCTAGAATTGATGTCAATTTTTACATCTGTTATGCACATATACTGTGTGGTAATCAAAGGTTTGATACCATTTTTATGTAAATAAGTGAGTATTCCTAGAACACATGTAGTGCAAATGAGAGCCACTCAGTATACATGAAGGATTTCTCATTTGTTTTAGAGATTTCTCAGATAATCTCTACTTTTTTTCCAACCAGCTGCATTGTCAAAAGGGACAATTTTTTTTTTGTTCTTCCCTCCTGCTTCAAATAAGCTGATAATTTCTCCATCTCTAAAAAATATTGAGTCATAGATTTTAATACTCCTTGCTGAGGCTGGCGAGATAGCTCGCCGGTTTAAGAACCCGCCTAGCAAGCCCAGGGACCCGGGTTGGATCCCTGGCACTGCATGCCGTGCCAGCCCCAAAATTCCAGGTGTACGGTGCTAGGCAATGGAAACCAGATGTGGTAGTGCACACCTGTAATCCCAGCTCTGAAGAGCCTGAGACAAGATGATCACTAGAATCTGATCTGGGTAGGGAGACCTAAATAGATTATTTAAAAAAAAAAGAAAACAAAACAAAAACAAACCCTGAGCCCTAGATAGATAGCTCAATTCCAAATCCTTGTCTTGTCTTGTCTCAAGAAAACCATTAAAAGTCTATTCACTTCATTTACTGAAAGTGCTGGAACTGAGACCACTAAAAACCTCATTTAATTCTTTGTATTCTAGTTTATTGTTTTTAATTTGGAAATGTAGCTTATTATCTCTTAAAATATTGGCAACATTTAGTTTTGCCTTATGGTTATTTCATCAGTGTTTTTTTCTTTATGATTCATCCTTGAAAATACTTGAAAAACATTTAATGATGTATTTTTAAAAATCATTAGCTAAAATATTTACCCAAACAAAGTTAGTATTACGGGGCCAGGGAGATGGCTCAGTGGAATAAGTGCTTCCCTGGCAAGCGCAAGGGCTTGAGTTCAATCTCTGGTTCCGCAAAAAAAAAAAAAAAAAAAAAAAAAAAAAAAAAAAAAGTTAGCATTACATACCAGAAAATGTATACTTTACTGGGACTACTGACTTGATTTAATTTTTTAAAAATTCTGTGGTAATAGATCTTTCATATTTTGTATCACTGATTTAATTCATATGATGAGGAAAACTATATGATATATATGACAAGTACTTTTTATTTTCTATTAGTGCCTTAGTGTTTCTTCATATTTGGTTTTCTGCCATCTTTTCTATTTTAAGATATTTTTAATACTTCATATATTTTAGCACTCCCGAATGGGAGCACATCAGATGTTACATGTTTTTCACATTGGTCATTTTTTAGAATTTAAGCTATTACACTATAATTATGATGTCTCTCAGGATCTAAACTCTTCCTCTCTAGTCATAAATTTTAATACTTCTTCCTGTTACTTCCAATTCACCAGATCTTTTAATTCTTTAAAATTGACTTTATTGAAATCCAATACTTGAGTCTCACTGAACCAGCTGATCCAGCTTGCTTTTTTGGCAGACATCATGTAAAGCTCTGCCTATTGCAGATTTTACAGAAGACATTAGTACTCTCTCTACTAGTTTGATTTTTTTTTTTAAGTGGGAAAGAATGTAGAAAGACTTGAGTTTTATCTAGGCTTGATCAGATAACTTACACTAAGTCTCTAGTTTCAATTTTATCATTATATAAGAAAATATTTGTAAAGAAATTAAGAGTTTCAAAGATATTTAGAAGTATGGTTTCTAGTAAAATGTAAACATGATGATGGTTTTCATAAACTTAAAACTAATGATATAGACAGTAGAAATAGGAATAGAGTTTAGAATCTGTACTAGTTTAAGCTTTGGTTTCTTAGCAGTTTTGCAGTGTCATTTTTCCAGTGTCATGCATACAAAGCTTCCTTTGCAATGATTTTTTTGTTAATGCCCTGTTGAAATTTTTGCTAAATCACTGATCAAAGGTCAAAATGAACAAAGAATTTACAAAGAGGCCAAAAGCTTTTCTGAGTGTGAACTTGCCCTCCAGGTACAATTATGGAATTTTTGTTCTCATTGGGTGGCCTTAGCCCAGTCCCCAAACTTCATTTCCTCACTGGTAATGTGGGAGTTACAGTACTCTTTATTTCTCATACAAGATTGTTTTCAGGAAGCATTTGGTTTGGTACACAAAAGCCTTTTAATAGACAGCATAGGCTATAATAAGCCATAAACTCAGATGGTTTCTAGAGCTTGAAAAAAGTTCAGACATTAAGAGGATATTTTCATAAACCTATTAAGAGTAGAAAGATAGCGCTTATCAAACTACTGAACTATTAAAAATAAGAAAATTTTGGAGTAAAAGTTACTCCAAAATTAGTAAGTTTTATGATTGTAACCAAAGTGGTGTGAAACTGGAAGAACAAAAATAATTAAAAACAGAACTAATTTGTTAAAAGGTTCTGGGAGAATACCACTATTAATTTCTTAATTACATCTAAATTTCTCAGTATGTGGTTTTTGCTGTCTTGTATATGTTTACAGTGTTGAAGTTAAGATATTGTGATTAAAAATATACAAATAGTCACTCGGTAAAAGACACAATATAATTTTGACATATGTTATAGGGCAAAGACTTGTATAAATATAGTGAAATTATTCCTGCAAGGTTGAAATGACTACTAACTTTTTTGTCTTTTAGCATACGACGACATCAGGAAAGGAGAGCAATTCTGACCCCCATGTTGACAGATTTTTCTGTCCGAATAACTGGAGCACCTGCCATCATTTTCACCAAAATTATTTCTCCAGAAAATCTGCATACTGAGGTTAGAACATAATGTAAATTTCATTTTAGTCTGAATTAGAAGAGTAACTATACTTTGTTGGGGATTTTCAGTTTCAGTTCACAGGGAGTCAAATTAGTTTAATAATAATAGCAATTTTCATCATAGCTAATTTATACTAAGTATTTTCTAGCATTTTTCAGTTATTGTTTTCTCTGTAATAATTAACTTAATCATTATAATAATCTAGTCATCTGCTTCTGTCTGTATTTTACAGATGAGAAAGCTAAGGCATAAAAGAAGTAACCAATTTGCCATATTTTCACAAATAGAAATAGGCGGGTGTGAACTCAACCAATTGTTCTGGCTCTTTCCTCTACACTCTAAACTTCCTTAGCTTATGACAGTAACAATAATAATGACATGGGATCCTCACATAAATTATGTTACATAATATTTCCACATGGATTACTGTATTTAGCCCTCACAACATCCTTGAGTTAAATATTATCTATTTTTTATAGGTGAAGAAGCTATAAAAAAGATTAACTCAATCATTGTTAACTAGTGGGCCCAGGTTTCAGTTCTGATCATTGTTATGTACTGCTTTCATACCCGAAAAAGGAAGGTAATAATAGTCAAACCACCATAACTTAAAGGAAAAAACTTCCTAGAAATTTGTTATGCTGAATACATTATACTTTGCTCCTTTTTAGCTGCTGTAGGCAGTTGTTGCGAAAAGTTCAGAAAAATTAAGTACATATTGAATACTAAGGAATAGTTTAATCTCTAAGACATCTCAATTTATAATGTTTTATAAATTTATACTGTAAGAAACATACATAGTGAAAATCATGTTTTAAGTTTTGATTTTTGATCTTTCCTGAACTATCAGACCATACTGCATGATGAAACTGGATAGTATGAGTGAACCACAGCTACCAATCACCAGGAAACAACCAATATTCTACAATGCACTATATTACTAAGCAAGACGTTTTGTAGGTTAAATGTATTTTTCACTATGATATTTTCAAACTTATTGGGTGTTTGGGAATATAACCTCATTTAAAGTTAAGATATTAATATGGTAATATTTGCATATTAGTTTTAGGCAGTAAAATCTTTCATTCTTTAAATTTCTAATCTTTTTTTTTTTTGGCAGAACTGGGGATTGAACTCAGGCCCTTGTGCAAGCGCATATTCTGCTGAGCTATCTCCCCGGCCCTCGTTCTTTAAATTTTTAAAGACACTATTTTTGTTTTTATTGTTTTATTTGATTTGATTATTTATTTTGTTTTTATTGTTTATGATAGCCCTGTGGGGAAGGCTGTGTTAAGTAATGTTTATTTATACCCACAAAAGGTATATAAAGATTTCATAAATCTTATTATGTCATTGTCACTTAAGAACACAGTTTAGAATACATGAAACTCCTTACAAAGACTTTTTATCTATATGTGCTACTGTGAAAATATAAATTAATACACAAATTGGAATTACATTTTGTTTTTGTTTTGGGGGCCTGTTTGGGTTAGGGTTTTTTTAACTTTGTTTTGAGATAGTCTCACATTGTAGTTCAGGCTGGCACGTATGTTTACGGTATAACCCAGGCTCCCCTCCAATTCACCAGAGTGAGTTCTTCCTACCTCAGCCTCCCTAGTGCTGGGATCATGGGCATATACCACTGTACCCACACACCAAGAAGGAGTTATATTTTAGAATTGCTTTAATTTCCTGTTTACATTTGACTCATAAAAATGAAGTAATATGGTTGGAGTATATCTTAGTAGAAGAAAACTTGTCTGACATATGTTAGTTTTGAATATCCCTCTCTCCATGCCAGCACCAGAAAAAAAAGAACAAAAAAAAATCACTTCTAATTTTTAAGGCTTTGTCTTGCTTTCTCATGACAGGACAAAATATCCACTACCCACAATTTAAAGGAGGAAAATTGTTTGTTTGTTTGTTTGTTTCTGGGTTTTTTGCTTACATTTTTAGTCCATAATGTGCTGGCTCAAAGGCAGAATGGTGTGATGGAGGAGGGACAAATGGAGGAAGAACTTGGGAGAGAAAGCAACCTACCAGACCATTCCACACTGAACCTCCTCTTCTGATCACATCCCATCACCTCCCATCACATTTAGCTATAGCACATCATTCTCCATTCAGAAGCCCCACTTATGAACCCATATGACTTTAGGGGTACATCTTGGCATAAATCATAATAAGTTTTTTTCTGAAAATACTCTTTCGTGAGATTCTTACGTACCTGTCATCACAACATTCAAAAGAATGTGTAGGACTTAAACTACCATCCCATTTTAGTTAACATGTCTTCTAATTTGAAGGCATTATTTGAAAGTTTTTAGCAGGAAGCTAGCAATCAGAAAACCTACCTAGGACAAGCCTAGCTTCATGTTAAAAGATGCCACTGGGCTGGTGAGATAGCTCAGTGGACAAAGTCCCTGCTTTGGCAAACACAAGGACCAGGGTTCGATCTCTGGTCCTGCATGCTGTACTGGCCCCATAATTGGGACACGCTGAGGCAGCAACAGAGTCTGGGTGTGATGGGTCACACCTGAAATCCCAGTTCTTGGGAGGCTGAAAACAGGAGGATTACCATGATTCCAATGTGCGTAATGAGACTTGTACCAAATACACAAATGAAAAATAAATAAATAAATAATAAGAAAAATAAGATACCACTCTCAGCCACACATTTAAATTTCTTTTTCATCATTTTCCTTATACCTACCATAATTGCCTTATATTTTGCTTCTTAGGTGTCCTCCAGGTTGTTTCAATGATCAAATTGATCAAGAGACAATAATTATAAGAAGAATTTTGTATGATATATGATACTAATTCTACCAATAGCATTGATACCATTTAACCTGCTATTACAGAATTGATCATTTGCTAGTTTTATTTATTTATTCATTTTAATTTTTAAAATCTTGTATTTTTTTTATTTGGTACAGGGTCTTGCTATGCAGCTCACACTCATGTTGATCCTAGTGTCTCATCCTCAGTGCTGGAATTACAGGTGTGCACCACCACGCCCAGTTTTGGTGGCCTGCCATGGTGTGCCTGGAATTGTGGGGCCAGCACAGCATGTGGCACCAGGGATCATATACAGGTCTTTGTACTTGCCAGGCAGGTGCTTAAACCGCCAAGCTACTCCCCAGCCCCTGCTAATTTTGATAAGACACATTTTACTGAATTCTATAAATAAAAGTGTCTTAATTTTTTACAATAATTTTAGTATAAAATTTCATCTCCTTAGGAAATGTTACAATGGTAATTTATTTTTTTTTTAAAAAGTCTTCTGAAACAGTGTACTTCATTTTCTTTTTAATCATTGTTTGAGGAAGACAATAAGAATTCTAAGTATGGTGACTGAATACAGGAAACTTACAGAGACAAAGTATATTTAACCAAAAAAAAAAAAAAAGATTGTCATTTCAGAATGCTATACCTTATGGCTTTATTAAAAGCTGCTGTCAGGTATCTAGTTGATATTTGGGCAGACATAGTATCCTTAAATCTATTCCTTTGGATGCCACTAATAAAGAAAAGATCTCTTGGACTTTTCAAGGCATTTGAAGGTTGTCTCTTTGAACCTCATGACAAGAGCCAGAACTTCTGCTTTTTTTTTTTTTTTTTTTTTTTTTTTTGGATGTGCCTTCTGCTTATTAAGAGAAGCTTCTGAATTGTTTTTATTTTCCTTCTCTAACCCATTTTGTAGTGATAAATGTTCAAGTGATTCAATAATGCAGAACAGCACCAATTAGGTAGTAGACATGTGCCTAATGCTGCCAAAGCTTTAGCAGTTCGAAGAAGTAAAATTAATTGGTCTAGCTATCTTTAGCTTCATCACTCTGTGTGTTATAAATCACGTGGAGTGTATCTTTTTCTGAATGCCCATAATGTGGTATTTGCATTTATAATTGTATACCTACATTGCTTGTTTATATTTGTGTGCTTCACTAAATTATAACTTCCTCAAGAGCAGAGTACCCTTAGCTTTATTGTTCTGAGTACTCTCCTGTAATGCCTGGCATTTAGGAAATGCTCAGTAAATATTGGTACATTTGAATTGGTGAACAAAATTCTCCTATAGAATATCATCATTTGTGACATATTAAAACATGTCGGGGAGATTGCTTAGTAGCTTAAGCACCTTACTGGCAAGACCAAGCTCTTATATTCAGTCCCTAGAACAAAACTGAATGAATGAATGAATGAATGAATGAATGAATGAATGAATGAATGATAAAGCAGTGATAGTAGTTTAAGGTCTGAAAAAAAAAACAAATGGGTATGAAAGTTGAAAAATTATTATGATTCTCCTTGTATGTAATACAAAGCCTGAACATAGCAAGAACTTATAAATATTTATTAACGTATTAAACTATATCAAGTGGTTTTGCTTACCATTTTTGCTTTCCTCATTAACATGTGAACTTGAGTTCCAGATAACTTAGGAAGTAGTAATAGTCAATCAAATAAGAATGATAAATTATCAATGGAATGCTATGATATATCTCACTCTCTATTCTACTTCTTATCTCCTTTAGGAAATTTTAGTGTGTGGCCATTCCTTGGAAGTGAATGTAACCACAAACCTGGATTTCTTCCTAAGTGTGGCTCAAGTTCAACTCTTACATCAGTTGATAGTAGCAAATATGACCGGACTGGAGCCATCATACAAGCTCACAGAGGTAACGATTAACTGATTCTGATTAAACTTTCACAGCTTTAATGCCAGTCTCACAATACAAAACCTATAATTACACTACATGCTTTCTGTTAATTATTCTGTATTGTTACTCAAAATATAGTCATGAATTATCTTCTGTTCTTTATTTTGGAAAATCTATTTAGTGTCATTCCTCTTATTTATCATATAACTTTACAAAATTGTTGTGGCCTGACCTCAGAAAAGTCTGTTAAAAACATAATTTTGTTATGCTGCTAAAATTTCTAAAGTGTGCTGTCAGAAACCCACTATTGTTTTCATTTACCCAAGTACATTACATGCAATAGAGGCTCTTTTGGAAATAAACATCATAACACTACTATAGGAATATACTCAGTAAATATGTTCTAGAACATTTGTTTCCCATGCACGGTAAAGAGTGGACACGATCATAACAGTTGAATGCCTGCCTAGAATTTTAATTTGATCTGGTATACATTAGAAGCCTATACCATAACCACAAACTATATCAGCATAAAACAAAGAATTCTGCTTGTTAGATGCCTTTCAAGATATATTTTCTTTTGTTTTTTGTTTCTACACATTCTTCATCATATGGATTCTTAGATTACATCTTCTATAAGAACCCAGGTTAAGATGCTGTTTATAACTGAAAAAGATATTGCCTTTATTCTTGTATGAGTTAAACAGAATCCTCCAAGTTCTGTTTACTAAGTGTGTTCAGAAGAGTCACTCAGAGTTACTTACCACAAGGCAATTTGTGGTACCAGCTTTGTTCATTAAGTTAACTCACATATCTTGAAATACACCATAGTAACCCTATCAGGTGGATATGAGCTTCATCCTCATTTTATAGATGAGACTTCAGTGCCTTAGAAAGGATAACTGGGACTGGCCAGATAGCTCAACAGATTAAAATACCCACATAGACAGGTGCAGGGACCAGGGTTTGATCCCCAGTGTGCCATGCCGACCCTGCCCCTGGGGCATGCTGAGATAACGAATGAGACTGGGCATGGTGGCACGAATCTATAATCCCAGTGCTTGGGATGTTGAAAACAGGAGGACCAGTATAAGTCCTATCTGTGTAGTAACCTGTAGACCCTGTATTAATTTTAATACATTGCAAAAAAAAAAAAAAAAAAAAGAATAAGTGATTTGCCCAGAATCATCACATATACCTAACCAAAGTGACACATCCCAGAATTCAAATTAGATCTTGCAGTTGAGTTCTAGTCCCATTCTGCCGTAGATTGTGTGTTATCTAGTCTTTATTTTTAAAAAGTTATTCAAATATGGTAAAGTTTTAACTTTTTAAAACGGGGTTTCTCTGACTTGCTCATCTTTTATTATCCATGATTTCTTTCTATTCAGTGTTTTTTTTAAATTATTTTATTTTAGGGAAGGATCTACAGGATCTAACTGTAGCCCCTAAGGATCTTTAGGGCCTAACTACTAGATCAGACTTATAGTGATCTGCCTGTTTACAGCCTCTCAGGAGCTGGGATTACAGGCATGTGCCACCATGCCCAGTTTCAATTGCCATCTCAGTGTGCCCTGGAGGCCGGGCTGGCACAGCATGCCTGGGGATTGAATCCCTGTCCCTGCTCTTGCTTGTAGGCACTTTAATCCACTGAGTTATTTGGCCGCCCTCAATATCTATTTTTAAAGGATTATAAAACTATATATTCTCCAAAATACTAACTTTTAAAAAATGTTTTACACAGTCAAAAATATAATTATATGATAGGAAAACAAGATTGTAAAGTATTCCTCTATATATACATTTATAAAATCTAGAGCCAGTTAGGTTAGAAAAGGATGTTTTAGATTCCTATGTTATTTGTGCCAATTTTATGAATATTGTACTTCCAAGAAATGTAATTCACAAATTAAAGATTTGTCTTAGAACTTTGTACAGCTTAAAAATCGGTTAACCATGAAGCTCTATACTTCTACTTCCTATAAAAGGATCAATTTCAGTAACTAGATGGACATTTGGAGTTAGATTAATAATTGCTTTTTCAAGAACATTGAGTCATTTCTCACAGTTCCATAAATTAGCTGTTGTTTTTACTGCTTCTAAATTGCATTTGTGACTTTTTTCTCCTCCTACCAGTAATATAAAAAGCATAGATGCTATTGTATTTTTAATTGTTAAGGTGTATGTTATATGTAGTTACTGTGATTGAGCAATACAGACTCTAATGAGACAGGATAATTTGCCACTTTGTGTAACTCTGCTGAAATGTACCTATCAGCATTTCAGGAATTGAGAAAAGATTTTCACTGAACTAAAATAAAACAATTCCATTTATTATTAGCAAAACTTATATTTGAATGTCCAAGAATGTAAAGACATTTTAGTTACATAGAATATTCTGTAGTAAGTCAAGATCATTTTAAAAAGAAGAGTTGATTACTTTAAAAACAATTATAATATGTCAGGAATGGTGACACACACCTATAATCCCAGCTCTCAGGAAGCCGAGTGAGGGGTGTCATTGCAAGATCTAGAACAGCCTTGAGCTACATTGAGAGTTTGAGGCCAACCTGGACTAGTGAAACCCTGTCTAAAAAAAACAAGCAAGCAAAAAAAAAAAAAAAGTACTGAAAAATGTCAAAATATTACAGATATATTTGATATTACATCTAGTAGAGGCAGTCAGTGGTAACACCGTTAATGTTTTTCTCCCAAGGCCTCCACCATTTGTAAGATACAATAGCCTGTCTTTAAATATACTACTTTAAAAGAGGTGTTATATTGATCTAAAAACACAAACATGCAAACATTGTTTTGTCTCGCTAGCGTAAGAACCTGAAAAAATAAAGAAAATCTGAAAGGTACAATAGAGACCATGCAAAGAGAATGAATCTGTTTGCAATGAAAGGATTTACTGAGATGAGAAGAAGGACAGGAGAGGGCGGGGTGGGAGAAAGAGCTGTATCTATGCAGGTGTGGAAGATGGCTTAGTTATAATTGTGCTGCTGGTTTCTGCTGGTCTATGGAAAAGAGCAGTTAATGTTTCATTATTCTTTTTTTTAAAAAAAAAACTCTGTTTTAAATTTTTTTCTCTTCTAAATTTCGTATAACTTTTTTTCCAATTTTGCATGCATATATCTGGTATTCTAAACAACAAATTTGAAGACAGCGCTATGCAGTCTAACAAATACTGTCAAATGCATATTATTTTGTTTAATGTAATTGTATCTCACTTCAAGGTTTTGTCATTTTGTATTCTCAAAAAAATAAATACAACAACTATATTACTACAATTTTTAAAAATACTTAACATAGCAAAATTCAGGAAGCTATACATGATTGTAACAATTGTTTATTGTTGCATTATAAACTACTTCACAAGAATGATGAATTTATAAAATAAATACCACTTATTAGGAATCTAAAGAGACCTCTTAGTGAACTATATGTGAATAAATATTCTAACTGTTCTCAGTCTATCATCAGGCACTGCATTGATGCAGTAGCTATACAACATATTTGAGTAAAATGGCACCACATATATTCATATATTGTACCTTTTTATGAGCAGAATATATTTATTGAGAGAAAGAAAGCTCCTGTCCAAGAGAGGGACAGGAGGGGGCCCTGAGCGCGTAGTTCCCCCATACGTTGTACTTTTTAGGGTGTATTTTCACTGTATTAATGAAATAGTTATACAATGTATTTCAGTAACATGGAATTGCATACATTCATGTATTACTGCTTTTAGAGTGCTAATATTTTCAGGCAATCCTTTGGCGGCGTTTACTTTAAAAGATTAAGTTTAAAATTAGTTAGGAATGTGATAGGTATTTAGTAGAGAAAATATATCCATACTGTAAACAAAAGGGAGAGAAATGCACATATTTTTACAAAGAAGTATGAACACAATCTGATGACCTAAGGATTTTTTCCTTGAACAAATATTTCAGGTATTTGATACTAATTTTATTTAAATGGACAACGCATACTTCAGAGTTCTCTTCTGAGTGATAAAAAGACCAAACAAATTGTTTCCTATGTTTAACAAAAGTTGTCCTGTGTTTTTGGTCTGAAAAATGAGATTATGTGAAGTAAGGCTGTTGAACCATGGGGCTTGTATTTCAACTTTGTGGTCTTCACTCTCCTTCCAGTGTTGTTGATGTCATGATTTGGGGCTTCTAAAATGTGTAGCTTCTTCCATTAATCTTTTATTTCATTCTACATAATATGATAGTCTAAGAAACTATATCAGATAAGTAAACATTTAGTATTTAAAAAAAACAAAATGCATTTTATAGTACAAATTATATGTCTTTATGTAGCTCATCTCCAGAGTTTACAATCCCATTCTATAGTGACATCTCTATAACCACACTGAGTTCTATAGGATTCATGTATAACAGCCATGTTATTTAAGATTATTAGATCCCAGTTTCCTCCTATTTATGTGAGCTGTCAGCAAGTTTCCTGGACAGCTCTACTATAAAAGCCAATTGTACTGTTCTCATGTAATCCCCAAATAGAGCTCTACTGTTCAGCCTTGATTTTGTTGCCCCCATCTGTGGTTAACATGGCTTGGTGATTGACAGAATTGTTTTAGCCTTTCAGATGATTTTACTAAATGGTCTTGGATCTATAAAAGCCAGTTATATGAACCTGGCTGTTATAATCAAAACTTGCAATACAAATTAGTAGAAAAATTTGTTTAATTATATCTTCCAGTAAATTTCAGGAAACACTTGCAAGACCATGTGAATAAATAGAATTAAAGAGTTTCAATTCATGCAAGTGTTTTAGGGAGAAATAATTAAGGTCATTTTTATACAAGAAAAGGAAACTATAAAATCATTGTAAATGTTCCTAAAGCTATCAATATACAGAGTCTTCTAAGGAATAGTTGAAAACAGACGTCCTATCCTACTCAATTTATTTCAATTAGAATCACAAAAGGAACATCATAAAGAAATATAATTTGTTATAATTTTGAAGTATTAGAGAAATTTAGACTAAAAGCA